ACTCTGGAAAAGGTGGGGGTTGAATCAGAGGTATTTAACCTACAATGCCGATATACGATCCAAATCTTTAATACCCACTAGGCCAGTGGTTCTCAACCTTTTTTCTTTCGTGGCCCATTTTTGTTGCTAAAAAATTCTTGTGGCCCACTAACTTTTTATTGCAATGAGAAAACTACAAGAAAATCAAAATGGACATTTTCACTTTAATAATTAGAATGAAAATTACCACTTGGTAGTAGAAACAGCATCGTCATTGATTGCTGCTACAATCAAAATTAACTATTGTGACATAAATAAAACTAGCAATCTGTGGCCCACCTTAAAGTGGGTTGAGAACCAGTGTACTAGGGAACGTTTTTTTACAGGGAGGATTTCTTCCCCAGGGTGGGTTTTTGTCGTTGTTGGGGAGGAACTTGAATTTGCTGTGGTATCACTAATTTTCTTTAGTTTTAATACTATAATACTAATTTATGAGCATATTGTAAACAACTTAAATTGTACAAACGCCAGAGTGCGACTTGTGCATAAATAACTAGCTTATGATTCATTAAAGTGATATTTATGACAAGGGAGGGGTAGACAGTTTCTAAATTTGCAATGGGAGGAATTTAACGAAAAAGTTGCTTATAGTAATGAGAAAGTGTCCAATGGAAGATTTGATTTTTTTCTCAATTTGATGGGAAACTTGGTTTCTGACCTATTATCAATGATATTTATTTCACTAATCATTCAGTGATCTGCTTTACTATTGGTGCTATTCATATGCCTATGCTGATATACATTGTTGGATTGTTATGTAGCGCTTATTATTATTTTTTATACAGATCTAATGTATATATGAATTGTTCTAACACAGTTTTGTAAAATATATTACTAATTTACTGCTCTACGAACGTTGGATATCTTGAAAAAAATGTATTCATCCGGTCAGCCGAACTCTTGACCGACAATCAAGAAGAAGAAAGCGTTTGTCGTCTATCAGCGCGTTACAACAAATGCATCCACGGTTACACCCGCTCCAGTAACCGAAGCTTATTTCCGCGATTACACCCGATTTTCAGTTGACACCCGACACCCGATTTTCGGTTGCCGTTCAGTTCAGAAGCTTATTTCCGCGATTACACCCGATTTTCAGTTGACACCCGACACCCGATTTTCAGTTGCGTTAGCGATTATGACAACAAAAGACAAAAATCAATTCTTCTGTAGTATTCAGGTTTTTGACATATTCTTATTCAGGTTTTTGACATATTCTCATTTCCGCGATTACATCCGATTTTCAGTTGACACTCGATTTTCAGTTGCCGTTCAGTTCAGAAGCTTATTTCCGCGATTACACCCGATTTTCAGTTGACACCCGATTTTCAGTTGCGTTAGCGATTATGACAACAAAAGACAAAAATCAATTCTTCTGTAGTATTCAGGTTTTTGACATATTCGCTCAAACCTTTGCACCCTAAAGCGCCGTAGTCATGGTAAAGTTCCCATCCGGAAAAAGAATAATAATTGAACATACAGTAGTACAGCGCACAAAGCGATCTCCGTCGGTATTTGCGCAGTACATAATAAAGCCGTACTGCACTATCCGTACTACTGTTTGTCGAGTTACTGTCCACCCATGGCTCGTGTTTTCTTGCATCTCGGCAAACGACACGTGTAGACCCGGAAAATCGCCGTTTCACTCGAGAGTAGAGGTAAGATCGGCCCAAAAATTCCAGCCAGGCCTGACCCAGTCTCGTGAGAATTAAACCTGACCCGAGCCCGACTAATTACCTGGATTTGCAGGCCCGAGCCCGAAGCAAACCTGAAATTTCATATTTTATTTAGGAATTCATTGAATTGTCATTGCAAAAGTTTAGTGCAGTATGTGTCGTGTTGATGAGGCAACTTCTGTTTATTTTTTTTTGCAGACCACGGTCTCTCGTAGCCAAAACATGGCCTCATTTAAAAAAAAGTGAGCGATAGAGAAGCCCGACACGAACGTAATGATTGACATTTTATGTATTGAACACGAATTTCACGGGAAAAGGGAAGCTCCGCGGAACCAAACGTACCTAATGTAATCAGTAATTTATTTTGAACATTAATGATGAAAATACGTAAGGTACATATACGGAGTAGAATAAAAGAAGAATAGCATTCCAGGGTGGAGGGAGACGCCAAAAAAACAGTACTGGTTATCGAGCAGCGACACCCAGGATGGGGTCTAACACAACGTGAAAAAAATAAGATAAAAATAGAATGCTTAAATTGAATGAGAATATAGAAACAAAACATTCCTACTAAGATATTCGTATATTAGGAACGTTCTGAGGTTTGAGTAAACGACGTGAGCTGCCAATTTTCCTTCAGCCTGGAATGAGCGTTGACCGTCGAATTAAGCAGAGGCGTAGCCAGCATATTCTGCGCCCGAGGCAAACTATGAAATTGGCGCCCCGACCTCCACGTTTAATCATATTTTCTATTACATTTACTTGTATATGTAAAAACAAATTATTTATGTAAATTCAATTTTATATTTGATTTTATATATTTTATTATTTTTTCAAAAATATATGTATATGTGGAACATTGTATTTAAAAAATAAGCAAAGCTATACAAAATATAGCATACCATGTTCATAATGTCCGACTCAGTTACTGTCAAAGATGATTTACATAGTCTACAATAAATTTATTTTATTTGATTTCACTGTCGCAAACTGGTTAAGAAATATCACGAAATATAGCTAGCGGGCATACTAAACATAACCCAAAAACAGGGGGATCGGACGCTATCCTACCTGCCAAATCTGGTAAAACCAGTGGTTTAATACTATAACGGATAATACACTTGACTCTGCGGCAACCTACGCTAGACATCTACTTAGGTTCGAATCCCACGTGAGATGTGACAATATGCAAGAGGAATGCTTGACTTCCCGCCTTTCAGTGTGGTTCACGTAATAGCTTGTCGGTAACGGCTTTGTCCGCCAACTACTATACGTTTCCGGACGCATTGCGCCACAGATTGAGAGGGCGTGTATGGGCAAGTCAATGATACCCGTGGAAGGGCATATTGACATTAGGAATAAATCAGGCAAGCCTTTACATCTATTTTTCTCGTTTCCACATAGATATGTAATAGATAATTCAGCCATTTTGAACAAAACAGATAAAAAGAGTGAGTGCGATGCTCAAATACATGGACACGAAAGCCAAAACGAAATAGTACGGATATGCAATCTGTCACAGTAGACCACCTGTACCGCCTGACCAACAGCTAACGCGAAACTCGTAACCGGCACAAGGTGCACAGTTTGTACTTTTGATGGCGTCATAGCACACACAAAAAACAAATCCCCTACAGCCAACAGAGATTTTTGAAATGAATAAAAGTGATAGCCTCCTTTTGAAAAACACAATCTTCAATTTCAAATTAATCAATTGGTCTAGTAGTAATTGAGAAAAACATTCTAACACCAACAATCTAATAACAAAACGATCTGTAAGTCAATTTTGTGTCCAAAAATTGACTTTGCGATCTACTAGTCCAGCAATCGGCAACATGTGGCTCTTTGTTCGCGGAGCTCTGGCCTCCGTGAATCAAAGTGGTTACAGTAGCTTTTTGTTAGAAGTAGTAGAGATTCAATGAAAACAGAGGCCAGAAAGAAAAGCCAAATACACCTCACTAATTACACATCACCGCGGTTCACAAGATATAAGTCGAGAGCGGTAAAAATATGTCGCATTTAAAGGGATTCATTTCTGTCAAAACACAGTTTTTCTTTTCATTTTACAAATTATTCTGATTTCGTCATAGATTGAACTGTTGCATTATTCGTATTTCATTTGGCTCTTTTAAGAACTATATTACTACATCTTGAATGATTTTTTACGGGAGTGTTAAATAGCCACTGACATTGGATCAGGGTTACCATATCTGGAAAGACAAAATCCTTGACAAAATTTTAATGAGCCACGTTGACCAATTTTGCAACTAAAACACTTATATTACGATATAAATTCACGATGTATCCAAATGCACAAGCTGTCGTCGCTTTCTCGTAGATCAAAATCATTGCCTAATCTTTTGCACTAGTGACTGAACCCTAGCACGGAATAAAGTAAGTTACATGTAGTGCAAACAAAATACAGATTACAAAAAGCTGGCAATTCAGGTCATATGTGACATCACAATTAACTAAATGCGACGCAATCCATGTTGCACAAAAAAGCTTGCATGTGACATATCTCTAAAAAAAATAGGATTTCGTGGATGCGCAATATCTGAAAACTCAAGGATTTGTAGCAGGAATTTTCTGTATTCGAAAATCCCTTACATTTAAGCATTTTTTAACATTTCTCCCTGACGCAAATTTGACCAGTAAATACCCGGACATGTCAGGGGAAAATCTGGCGTATGGCAACCCTACATTAGAGTAGATGTTGCGACTCTGAGTAGGTTTGAGTTTGATTAAAAGAATGCCAAACGATTCTTTCAATGGTAAAAGTTGCCGACCCGTGTACTAGCCCAACACACTTCTGCAATGATTTTTGACGTTTTATATTATTATCGTATCCGGTAGATTTACAATATCTAACTTTCTTCTACCAGGCATTTAGTAAATATTCCGCTACAGTACCGATAACCGCCGTTAGCACGAGTCACGAGCGTAATTAAAACCGAAGACTTCGTAGAATGTGGCGGGTCACAACTCCAACACATAGTAAGGTGCATGCATCTCAATTAGCGCGGAAATGAGTATACGCACCAGTCATCGATACCCGTGGCTTTTCAAAGGGTATATCAACTATATGAATTGATGGGAAGAGGCTTTATCCATTTTCCATCCATTCCATTTAGGCTACATCCATTTTTCGTGTTTTGACCTATTTAACACAAAAGAAAACAGCAATTTTGAACAAAACAGGTATAGAAAAAACTGATGCAAAATAATTTGTTTTATAACACTTTTTTGAAACAAATACCTAATTCCCGACCGTCATCATCTTTATAGAGACGTGGAGTTTGTTGTCCATATGAACTGGAATAAGAACAGAAATTATCACATGAGCAGGAAAGAAGACGGTATGACTAGATTTTTCAAATACTATGCTTCCGCCTTAGTAGAGTTTTTCTTATAGACATGGATTATTATTTTGTAAGATTTGTCATATATATATTTATGTTGTTATATGACATACAGATTTTATTTTATTTTATATATTTTCAATTTAATTGTCACAATTTCTCAGGGGCCGAACTTTATGCCGCCCATGCACGTGAAATGAACGGAAATTATAACGCAGCAATAAGAGCAATGGGTAAGATAAATATTGACCAAGTTTTCTTAAATTTGTGTCAAAAGTGTGCAGCATTCGCTGTGTACAATAAATATTAAAAACTTGCGAACATAAAATTTGGCTATGGCTGATATCGTCGAAATTGACCATGAAGAATATTTTTATCTCAAATTTCAAACGTCTTGAAGTATCGCACAACGATGAGAAAAATGACCAGACGACCAGGTTTGCTTTCTACATTCGAGATATCCGGAAAATTGTTTTAACCATGGCATTTTTACACATCAGAGTGTAATCAGCTTTCAGAACTACTCGCACAATGTGACCGGTATTACAGATCACATATCCACTGGCCTCCCCGGGCTTTTGTTCAATGTATCGGAAATGATAAATTTTGAAATATTATAAACTTTTAGTAACGTGATACAATGAAGAGTCAAACATTCGACTCCAAAATGTTTGGGCTCACGTAATGGTGTTCATGTTTTACTGGCAAAATGATAATTTACACCTCTATTTTTTTGGCAGACGACTATTTTTTTATTGCGGATTGGTTGTTTCTGACTGACTACACAAATTATTTTGCCGTGTTTTTATGTCCAACAATGAAATTCTGCGATACGGGTAAGGTGTAAATCGATTAAAACGACAACTTTTTAATTATATTTAGTTATGTTTGGATTTCCATCTTTTTTTATTAAAAAAGTGTGTCCTTCTTTTCAATTACCCTATCCTTTATTTAGCAACTTGCCTAAAACAATGTTAATACCTAATGCATAATTTTGGAACTTCTGAACTCAAATTACGTTCCCAAAGCAAATCTGTGGAAAATAAATGCACAATCAACCAGATGAACTTAAAACTAAAGTTGCAATATCGAGACTACATAGCATGCAAAAAAGCTGGTTTTATACTTGGAATAATATAAGTTTTATTAAGTGTATTTTCGGCCAGGAAGGAATCCTACAACTTTCATCTAAATTAGAATTTTACAAAATTGCATCTACTTTTCAGATCTTCATATCGTTTGGGGATATTTCCCAAGTCCAACTCCAACTTTGAAACAAATCGCAGCATTTTACAATGCTCTTCATGATCAAGGAATATCTGCTAAATTCCACGTCTCAGATTGTTCAGAGATGAATTGGAGTGATTAATCAAGCGACCCTGAATATTTAGTTTAAAAAAATAATAATTTTGTAATAATCAAGAGTTTGAAAGACAAATTTATTGCTTTAAACTATGAACTTTCTCTGTCAATAGAATTATGTTATATCGTGATATACGGGAAGTGAATAAGATGTTCAGGTCTTATGTCAAACTCTAAATGTAATCGGAATAAAATAAAAACACTGCCACAACTGCTATCTAGCATATTTGTTATATTGTCAATATTCCATATGACCACTTGTTGGAGCAAATAAAAAAAATTAGGAATAATAGAAATAAGGAAAAAATGATCGGATATGAAACTATTATCGTATTCAATTGACATTATGCAACATTTTATAGGAAAGAACTGTACAATATGTGCGAGTCTCAGTGTGAATATTTCAGAGCGCAGAATAGAGCACCTAAAATAAAAACAATAGAAAAGTAAAACAAATTTATAGGGTGTTCATTCATGTGTTCGACTTTTTTGTTGGTTTTCATTTTATTTTTGCGTACCAGATATAAGTTTTGCCCTATATTTACTCCTATGTTCACACTTTAAACATGAACAACTTGAACAACATGATGAAATGCCCGAATGAGCTAAAATGTATCGAGAAATGCCCGAATGAGCTAAAATGTATCGATATATCGACTGTAAGCAAATACAAGAGTAAGATTTTTTTCACTTTAACTTGAATTCGGCAACAAACCTTTTCACATCATCTGTACATTCGAAACATTTTGACCAATATTTGTTTTTATGAATTTCAGCCAGCGTATAAAGATAAACTTCTTCGTACGACAGACAAGGCAAATATTTGTTCATTAAACTGAACCATACTTATCTGTTATGTATTAAAATAATAGGGCGGGCAGTTCTATTACCGCCTTCACGGAGTGCAATATCTATCTGCCGCACTAAACTAGAAACGCTAGTTTCATGCAGATTAAAAAGACACATGACTTGGTAATCAAGTCTAAAATAAATGGAATTTTATATAGTTGTCATTAACAGCAGCTCTTCTTTAATTTCCTTCTCTCTACTACAAAAGTTTTTTAATACCAAGCGAAAGTTCATAAGAACACATTATATATATTATCTGAAATACAAGAACAGCGACGCAACATTTTCTCGATGGTCTCGAGCCGCGAGATTGATTTTGCAATGCAAACGATACTTGGGAGCCAGATTTTGATCTCTTTAACAGGTTTATCGAGGCCACAGAAGCACATTTCCAAGTATGATAGCAATACTCTACAAATTGACGTATTGGTGATTTGTATATGTGAATTGCGCAATCATACATACATATCGGCGAGCATGACAAAAAGATTCCGGCTTAAATCTTTGGAGATGATGAAACGAACTGACGAAATTAGGATTGTTCCTCTAGAGCAGCAGTTCCCAAACTTTGTTTGCGTCGCGACATCTTTCACGATATATGCTGAATTAAAAATAAAGTTAGGAGGTCCTACAACAGAGACGATATCAAGCTTAGAAAATACGGTAATGAAAAGCCTGTACCTTTATGTTAGTCATTTCATAGAAAGTTTGCTTTTTGTAGACTTTAAATTTCCAGATTAACAATTGAAAATTGATATTAGAAGATGAACACTAGGGCCCACAGCTGCCACAGCTACAAAAATTTCCTGCCCCGACCGCGAAGTTTCTTGTAAAATAATAAACCAACACACACTTGATAAAATTTGATATTAAGGGCTTCCCAACCGGAAAAGCATCCCGCCAAGGGAAAGAATTTTAGCCGTTGAAATTCACGCTTGCATGCGTTTAGAGCAGTTGTTCTAAACCTCTATTAATTTGCCCTTTTGGCAAGTCTTAAAATTGTGATTTTGTGGTTAATCGTCGGCGATTAGTGCAATGTGAAATAGGTCGTGTACGCATGACGATGGATGTCAAAGAACTGAGAGTGCATATGAATATCAAGTTTGATACCGTTACTCTCAAATGCATTGCACTTGCCATTTACATTGTCGGTATTAAGTGAGGAATGTAAACTTCCAGTCGGAGAAGAATTGGACGTTGGAAAGGTAAAAAAACAGAAGTAATACTATTCAGCTGTAATTGTTAACTTTCTTGCAATATTCTTCTGTGCGAAGTGTGCAGTAATTTCATGAAGTCATTCCTCTAATAAATATTTTCCTCTTTCTTTTCAAGTTATTAGAAACTTCCTGATAGTATGCCCGGACTTAAAACAGACGACTTCACATCCTCGATACTGACGTGTGTCAGATTATTCAAATTTACGTCAACCGACACAGGATTCAGAGTCATCTCCGCCGAACATGGCAACAGGTCAATAGATAATCTTTCTTTTAGGCAATACGAATCATGGGTGTTTTGAAAATAGACGATCCTAGAATATATCTAGTGTAAATTCAAATACTTTTGAAAATTTCAATATTTAGAACCAATCTAACAAATTCTCGTATACATACATGCCGTAGTTTTCAGCAACATCAATTCTCACCATATATTTGCATCTTAGTGGGAAATGTATAGTAAGGCATATAAGATTTGGGAAATTATTAGCATGCGTTAGTTTTTGATGCGCTATGTTACATTTTTGAAGATACGTCGAATTCCCTATTCACTTCAACATACACAAAAATGGAATTTACCAGCAAAGCAAGACAAAAGACGGTATGGAATATATTTGAATTTACATTGAATCATATACTAAGTAAAATTTTTAAATTAAAATATGAAAAAGTGCTGATAATTGATATGAACTCACTGTCATTATAAAATTTTTTTGGAAGAAACGACAGCTCGCTTTGAGCACACACTTGAGATAGACGGAAAGCATAACGCAGAAATTAGAGAAATGAGTAAGACTGCAGTAATTGATAATTTTACTATTTTTACCTATCACATTCTATTTTTCAGAACTTCGTATGGTTTGGGGATTTTTCCCGAGTCCAGATACAACTTTGAACGGAATTGCAGCTTTCAGTAATGCCCCTTTATGATCAAGGAATATCTTCAACATTTCACGCGTTCACTTGCTCAGAAAGAGAGTGGAATGATGTAAACAATCAAAAATATTTTGCGACTCTCCATAATATGTATTTCAAAGATTCTATTTGTCCGGCCCCGCATGTATATGAAATGTGTATGCAGATGATTCAATTCCTTTCACGGTAAGGACAAAAGTCTTCCCCATTTTTTTCACAATCGTACTGTGATTTTTTTTTATCGGGAAGCGTGAATGGAACTCATCAAGGCAGTGGTCAATCTTTCACAAAGTGCTACGAAAATGTTCGAACGTGGCGAAGAAGATTTTGCTTGAACTAACTGATATTGTTAAATATATGATGTTTCTTTCACAATCAAAATTTATTTCTTCAAATCAAATTTCCCCTTATATTGTTTTGAATAATTATTCTGTGTTTCGTCTCTATATAAAGATTAAATTATATAATTCATGATATGTGTGAGAATAAAGCATGTGATCAAAATATAATATTCACGCTAACCTGGAACCTGGAACAGACCTAATGATGTTATCCTTATTATAAAGTAATAAAATCTTGTATAACTGACCAGCGGTGAGTATCCAAAAATATGTTGAGCTGCAGCCTCTGGATAAAACTTGCTCTACACTAAAGCAATACACAACTAACTAAAGAATCACGCGAGAGCAAAAATTTAATTTCGCCAACAGAAACTTCATGTTACACAATAATTTGAAAATGCACTACAGCCGAGTCTGAAAGTGTTGCACATAGCAGTACCAGAAAAATTCCTTATTGTATATATATACCTGTTTTTATCATAATAATTAAAACCAAGTTTTCAACACAACAAAGTATGACAAAACCTAGCAAGTGCCTGCTGGTACACGATGACCTAATTTACAAATGAGTCTGTTAGACTGCGGTAGGTAGAGCACATAGCTGTGACAGACGTTATATCCAGCATTCCGTTAGCAGGTTCAAAACAGCGTTGTTCATCGGACTTCACGCCAAGACAAGAATCTATAATCTACTCTCATCGTTAATATGTCCTTCGGAACAGGTACCGGGGACTGGCCCAAACACGCGTTTTTGTGCTTTAGTGGAATCCTTCTCTCAAACCACCCCAATGTGTGTTTCAGTTGTGAAGTTTTCGGTTTTAATTAGGCTATCTCGTGTAGAACAGTGCTCTTCCACAGGGGTTCCGCGGAACCCTAGGGTTCCGCAATACATGCAGTGGGGTTCCGGGAGTTCATAGGGTTCCTCAGCGGTTCCGCGTTTTTTGTTTTGTTTCAGGGGAAACCATTTCTTGCTTCAGTATGTTGATGCGTCATTATAAATATTCTTAGACCTCCGTGTCTCATTCAAACTCCAAGTAGGCCAGTTCGTTAAACAGGAGGTTTAGGCACAGCGCAGTTAATAGACAAAAACAGAAATATTTTCGGTTGTTGTGCACTTTAGTCATTGTTATTGTTATGCAACTAACAAGAACGTTTTTGTTGCACCATAGTTACATGATGTTCAAAGTATGTAGATATTGCTCGAGAATAGAGAGAGGATATACTACAAAGTACAAACTAGAGTTGTTGTTCAGCTTTTGTTGGATTATAGTAAAAATAGTGTGAACTAGGCTTGCACGTAATTGACAAAAATCAATTCCGTAATTACGGCAAAATCAATTACGTAATAACCCCGTAATTGCGATATTTTTTCACGCATTTAAACCTATCATAACAACCAATTGAATCCACTTCTTTTCCGAATGGGACATTGAAGTTGGGTTTTCATATTCTTGGCAGTACTAGTACTACACGCCGGCGGCAGATGTTAAAGACAAGATCAAGGACTGAATTCAAATTAATTTTATTCTGATTTTTATCTTTTGTGTTAGCTTTGGTTTTCCTTTATCACCTTCGCAAATTAACCGTCCCATTTTTATGCGATCAATTTTATTTTATCATTACCGACACTGGTATACGGTTGTTTATGGAAACGATAGTTTTTTAAAACCACCTTAGTACTGAATAAAAATTAAGGGTTTCTAATTTATTAACCAACGACGAGCTTATTCACTCATTTGATTATACTTGCGATTTCCTCGCGACGAAGACTTGTTTTTGCAGCTTTTTCTGCATTATCCGACATTACTGCCTTGTTAGCATTTTATAATAATAATTATTGATGTCGACTTATTGACGATATTCCGATTACCATGCTTCATTTTACATTTAATCATTTCGCGGACTGAATGTTTAAAACATTATTTGCGATAAATTTGTATTAAATATTATTTATTTGAGTATAATTTAAATATCGAACTCAAGTCGGCGATCCTATCGGCCAAGATTGACACAAGTTTGGTGTCGAGTGCCGGTGGTATTCAAGTAGACGATAAATCAAAATAAGTTGCCGCATTTGGTAAGACAGTTAATCATATATGGCCGAAATATTGAGAGGAATTGTGAAAAACATCATGCGCAAGGCCAAGTCCGGACTGATATATAACGATAAAACCGTTAACAGAACATCAAGATTTTGTAATAGAAAATGGATCTCGCACAGAATAAACACACTGGCTCATATTTGATTATATATGATAGCAGTTAAATTTTTTTGCGGTCCGCGTGGAATCCGTCGTTTTGCTGTTTCTCTGCCGTCTCAATCGCTTTACCGATGCCGAGAAGACGAAGTTGCGTTGGTTCATTACGCAATCTCTCTTTTGTCGTCATATTGCTATTTGATGAGCGCGACATTAATTATCACGGCGAGGTATTGGCGCGAGTGATCAATCGCTCTTTTGGCTTATTTGGTTCCAATTCGTCGCGAAAGCTCTTCGTTAAATTTCACAAAATCGTCGTGTTGAACGGTTATGGATATTTTCTTGTTTATACCCCAAGTCTGAAATAAAACAGCTAAAAACAGTATGATATTCCATGTTCATATATCAAGTGTTGATATTAACATTAAAGAATGGTTAAGCATTGCTAATCCACACTTGGTGGGGAATTCCCACTATTTAAACGCGTGACTATAAAATAAAATGAATTAGAAACGGAACATATATACCATAAGTAACGGAAAACTGGAACAAGTAAACAATAAATAAAAGTAAAATGGATACAAATGTTTGATAGACCATGTTTGAAAGATTGATCTCCTGCGTTCATTAGTCATTTCACCCGAAGAAGTTGAAACCGGGCGTGTTAGCGTCCATCGGTCTTAACACAATTCTTCCCCCTATCTACGGTTATTATGTACATTGGCCATGGCCGTGCTAGATAAGATGCGAGAGAGTTGAAACCAGTTGTGTTGGCGTCAATCGGTCTTAACGCAATTCTATCTCTTATCTACGGTTAAGTTACGGGAGAAGTTAAAACCAGGTGTGTTGGCGTCAAACGGTCTCAACGCAATTCTATCCCTTTATCTACGGTTAAGTTACGGGAGAAGTTAAAACCAGGTGTGTTGGCGTCAATCGGTCTCAACGCAATTCTATCCCTTATCTACGGTTAAGTTACGGGAGAAGTTAAAACCAGGTGTGTTGGCGTCAAACGGCCCTACTCAGTTCTTCCCCCTTAACTACGTTAATAATTTACATTGGCCATGCCAGAGAAGTTGATAATAGGTTAGTGAATGGCAACGCGTCATGCCCTCCTTCACCTACGTAACAAGAGAGAGAAAAACGGCTGCGAATACCGGAACTCTAACTTCTACTTGTTGAGCTTTCATTTTTCGCAATCGACGAAATTGACTGCTTTGAAGAAAGCTGGTTTCAATGCAATAATTACGACTTTACGGAATTCGTAACTTCCCTTCCGTAACTCAAAATAATTACGTAATTCCGTAAATCCGTAAATTACGTGCAAGCCTATGTGAAACCCAACTTTTTAATATTTAGTCAATACAAATGAAGCAAAATAGTATATTTTCTTATGTGAGGCGGAAGATTAACAACGGTGAAGGTCAGGAGTCAGGACTGCAATGAGCGAAGTAGTTCAAATGCAAAAGCGGCACCTGCTCCTCCTCCGAAGCGAACCAGAAGGAATTCAATTGCCAAAGTTAAAATAAAAGTTTTAATTTTGTTAATTGGGGTTCCATAAAAAACGAAAAATTATTTAAGGGGTTCCACAATAACAAAAACGTTGAAGAGCACTGGTGTAGAACGAGAGCAGACGCACCGTTTGTCAATGGACTGGTGGTGTACTGTTGCTAAGTGTTTGCCAAGTGCCTGATAGAAGGAAAAAGTTTTATATTGTAGAAAGTAATATAAAAAGTAAACCTCACTGCAGAAGTTTGTTGGACTTACGGTTTTTCACTGTTTTTGTGCGTTTAGGGATTCATTCTAAAGTGAATTTTTGTATATACGAAGTCGACGTACAGATCGTTTTGTTATCATGTTGTTGGTATTGTTAGAACTCATTTCTCAATAACTACATGACGAACCACTCGGACCTGTGGCCTCTTTTGATGAAATGTACATTAGTAGGGTGCTAAGATAACTCACATAACAAACTTCATCCAAATCGGTCCTGCAGTTTAGACGTTACAGATAGACACACAGAACGGGGGAGAATGAGGGTTTCCTGGAGCGTATAGACACAATATACCGAGACTTGGATCTAAGCGGTGAAGCTTAATTAACTACCTAGCATATTTCAGAAGCTTGGCACGCCGCACTCTTGCAGCACAAATTTCGATCCTATCCGATTCGCTTTTTTGGTCAGTGCTCCCGGTTATACGTCTTTCGGGGATATCTCTTTCGGAGTTCCCCAGGACTCAATTCCCCATGGATTTTAGCACCCTCATATAGATTGAACCCGCGGATATACAGGTGCAAATGTATGGGTTCAAATATACGTTGGTTCAAATGTGCTGTCACCCTGGGAATAGTATATTGACATTAAAAATCTATTAGGTAAATTTTTACATCCATTTTTCTTGTATTTACGTAGATATGTAATAGAAAATCGGCTATTTTACACAAAACAGATAAAAACAAGAAAGTGATGCAAATGTATGCACACAAGGTCGATATAGTCCGGGTATGCAATCTGTCACGGTACTCATCCGGTATCACTCGACCAACAGGTGGCTGACGCGAAACCGCCACAAGGTGCACAATTTCTAATTTTGATGACGTCATCGCACACACAAAAAAACGAATTCCTTAAAGCTCACAGAAATTTTCGAAATAAATAAAAGTAATAGCGTTCTAACGAAAAAATAGTCTTCAACCACTAAAAATCTAATAACAATGGGTCCAGTTGACAACAACAACATTATAACAAAGCGATCTGTATGTCCATTTCGTGTCCAATAATTGACTTTGCGATTTACTAGTCCAAAAAACTTCTTCAGTGATTTTTGCGTTTTATATCATTAATCGTATCCGGTAGAGTTACAGTATCTAATAATCTTATACCTTCTATTTTACCAGACATTTAGTAAATATTTTAGTACAGTACCCGATCACCGCCGTCAGAACGAGAAACGAGCGTAATAAAAACCGAAAACTTCGCAGAATGTGGCGGATCACAACTCCATCACCAGTCATCGATACCTGTGACTTTTCGAAGCGTATATTAACAATACAAAATTAACTGCCGTTATCATTTCTATAGAGATGTGGAGTTTCTAGTCCACGTGAACTGGAATAAAAATGGGAATTATCACATGAGCAGAAAAGAAGACGGTATGAACAAATTTTTGAAAGGCTTCCGCGTTAGTAACGTTTTTCCTTATTGGATCGTAAATATAAGTAATATTTAATTTCTGAGATTTATCATATATGTTGTTATATGACTTACAGATTCAGACAATAAAAATGTGTGATGTTTTATTTTAATAATTTTAATTCAATTGTCGCTATTTGTCAGGGTCCTAACTTCATACCTCTCATACTTGTGAAATGAACGGAAATTCTGACGCAGCAATAAGAGCTATGGGTAAGAATAATAATTGAGTAAGTTTTTCTAAATTCGCGTTAAATGCGTGCAGCATTTGCTGTGTACAATAACAAAGACTTTCTAACATAAAATTTGGCCATATTGGCACATTTTGATCACGAACGATAATTTAATCCCGAAACATCATGGCGTATCGCATAATAAAGAGAAAATAATGAGATCAGGTTTGCTTGCATATTTGAGATATGCGGGACATTTTTGCACTTTTGCTTCATTTTGAGATAGTAGAGTGTAAACAGCAGCTTACAAGCAATGCTCGTTTTGCAATGTTACCGGCATTGCAGATCACATATCAAGTGAATTAACCAGTATTTTATCCATTGTATCGGATGTGCTATATATTGAAATAGTATAAATAATATAATAGTATATATATATAATAGTATGCCGTGTTTGTATGTCTATCAATGGTATTCTCGATACGGGTGAGGTGTAAATCGTTTAAAGACAACTTTTTAAGATAGTTGTATAAATTTAAACAAACGTATCTTGTTGGCGACAGACATATATCTGGGTCATGATCCGTTGACAATGTTAAAACATTAAGACAGTATTGACAAAATGTAGCGTTTGTAAATGGGAAGTAAATGAACCGAGTCTTGAAGATGCACATAATTGATTGATTTAAAGCAGGGGTCGACAACCTTTTGTCGCTCGCGGGCCAAAACTAAGGGTTGCAAGTCATTGGCGTGCTGTACATATTTTTAGAAAGTTGAAAACCCAACGGGTGATACTTTTTATAATAAAAATCAAGCAGGGAAATATTGCATTGCATCTCAAAAAATTACATTTGAATCCTTCCGGCACCATTGAACCCTTTGCACTTAGCATCAACTTTTCTGCATTTGTCAAATTATAATTAAATTATAGGTTCATTAAACGAGTAATTGTCAATTTTAATCTTGTTAGATTCTCGCAATAAATTCTGTTACGTAAAGATTATAATCGTCAAAACAGCTGTTTTGTTTCTATAATTCAGTAAAGCGTCGCGGGCCGGATTATATTACTCCGCGGGCCGGATCTGGCCCGCGCGCAGTAGGTTGCCGACCCCTGATTTAAAAGCTTCCATAACCATCAAATAGAACTAAGTTATGATGATTGATAGTTAGATTGAACTCAAATCTAACTGAATACTAAAACATTTATTTGTGAAAACCAGGCGCGTCATTCATTTCAGCGGAGACTCAGCTGACAACTCTGATAAGACTACAACCTAATGACCTCAACTCATAATAAAAAGCAAAATATTCTTTCTTGACAATATTCACAGGTTGAGTTGAATAACTAATGTACGATTTTTACGTTTAAATATTTGTATTTAAAAGACGCTTCTATCCGTCCTCAATTGTTTCAGTTTATATCAGTTTAAGTCTCTCGAAAGCATGTCGAAAATATTATGCTTTCGGTATCTAGCATAAAAATATACGTTGAATATTACAAAACCATCAAGGTTCTGGTTGCGCTTTTGAAAAGCATCGTGCTAGTTTCTTGTCTCATTTAATTAGCGACGGGTGTCAATGTTAGGTCGGCCACACGCGGTGACGACCGAGTTTTTCAATTGTTGATTTGTTTACCCAAATATTTTTGTGATTTTTTGTATCAGTACAAAATTGTGAAAATCTAGAATAGACAGATAATACGTTTTAAGAATTTTATTTACGAAACTTCACAGATAAATATACAATTTTTTAAATCAGACCAAATCGTCTGATTACCCAATTATTTCGACATACAAAAGGATATACCAATTTTCTGGCCCACGCGGTTTGGTATCTTTTACCAGTATTTTTGTCCATAAGGCTCACTCACTCTTGAAAAGCCAAGAAATTTTTAAAATCTCTTATCTCAGAAAAGGTTAATTCTCTTGTTCTATAATTAACACAAGGTTCTTCAACTGTTTGTGATTCTCGATTTTTGAGTTTGATAACCAACTTAGTTTTGAATTATTGATGCTTGTTTACGCAGGTCGTAATCGAAGATTTTTCCACTTTCGCATAAAAATATAAGAAATGCTAGCAAAATTAGAGTATTTCGTTTTTATAAGGTTCCTGAATGGAGTCCATGTATGTGTACCCCTTTGTTGTGGGCATGTATTCAATTAAATATTCCTCATTAGCTTCGTATGGAATGACTACATAGAGTTACTCCCGTCAAAAGGAAAACCCTATTAATATAAAACTCGGCATTCATTTACACGAAAAATACCCCGGAAGTTGCTAAAATATATTTAAATACGGTATAAATATTCATGCATACAAATATAATTTGAATCCCATAGGAATATAGAATGGTATCTTGTTTCAGATGGTAGATTGTTGCCCAGTGAATGTGCGTTTTGGTGCTAGAGTGGTTCGAACAATAAAGATTCGAGTCTTTTTACCTTACAGTCAAAGACAGCACGAAGTATGGTTTTCTTAATACTAATTCGACACCTCACTCTGTACTGTTTTTATGCCCAAAAAAAAATTTTATTTTATGGTATATTGAATTTATATTTACATTTGAAAATCAAAATCGAATGAATAATAATTACTTGATGTTACATATTGGGTAAATTGATATTTCTAAATCAGATTCAAGATTAGTTGATATGAAATATTTCAAAACTAAACTTGAAAAAAATTTCAGTTAAATTCGTGTTTATTGTACGATTCTGTGTTAGATCTTCTCTCTCATTTTCATTTCAGCAAACTTCAAAGAGTAAAAATTGCCTCTCCATTGATACCAAGTTACACCAACACCACGTCGTGTATTGTTTCCACCATGAATGTAAAGTCCGTTCAAGTTTGTGCTGTGACAGGTTCCGTACCAAAATGCTCCATGAAACAGTTGGGCGCAGTTTCCCCAATTGTGTGTGTCATGATCAGCATCTTTGGTCGTGAAAGGCATATTTCGATGCTGCACATTACCAAGTGCATCACCTGCGTTTCCACTATATTCCCCGAGAGTTAAACGATAGTTGCTTGATAAATCTCCGACGTAAAAAGAGCTGAAAATTTAACATGAAATATTGATATAACCCATAGAACAGCGCATAAATATAGAGATGAAGTTGCGTTCATTTTATTGGTCTAGCGAGAATGTAGAATATACATAACAACATATCGTCTCTCTGAATTTTAGTAGAATTGTTTTCACCTATGTATTTTTTTTAAACTATCAATTTTTAAAAGTGCGTAAATGACACATCCGAATGTATAATTATTGGCGATACTAGACTTAATTTGTATTTTTTTTTGATTTGAGTGATCATTCATGAAAATGCAGACTCAGATGTACAAAACAAATAGATGTTTTAATATATTTGATTAACATTAGGAACCACGCTAATCGGTAAGAACGCTTATGATGTTTGTTGGTGTTTCTGCCATAGATTATTTCACTAATCTTTTCTTACTCATTTGCGTATGCTGTGTTGCGTTCCCAATTTAACATGTCGATTCTGAGCTCATATTGTTCACGTTTCACAATTCGATGGATATTTTTAGACCTTATAAAATACTCATAATTGTCTCTCAATAACTACAAAAATACTGTCTGTTGCACGAAATTAGGTTATTTATTTTAATGAATATTTCACTAACAACTAACAAGAATAAACAATTATATATAACTCGCCAATTGCATTAGAATGTATTTTTATTCAATCAGATATCGAAATCCAAAGTTTGGCTGTGTCATGACTTTAACGAAGCCACACAGAATAAGCAGCCAGTAAAATTCTGGTCAGCCAGTGACAAACTATCGCATACTAAATTTCGGGGAAATGGTGAACACGAAATATTACTGGGAAGGAAAGGATAAACGTAAGACGTAGGCAACGACACCCGCGGTTCTAACATCTAAGCACAATTTCGACAAAAAGTAGAAATCTCTAAGAGTACTTTTTTATTGATAGGAATGGCTCTAGTGTAGTAGATCGCCTATTGGACGATCAGTCCATCAGATGGGTGCGGTATATTCGCCGCATTGGCAGGATTACAAGAAGCAATATTGTTCCGCTTATGGAAAATAGTTGGAGAAGCTTCGGTGGCGAATTTACGATTGTATTATTTTCGAAGGATATGGGATATGCCCTGAAAGTTTTCTGATATAAGTTGGAAAACAACCAGACTTATAACATAGTTATATTTTACATCAAGGTTTGATCATTCATCAGTTATTTTATAAAGATTCTTTTCATGAATTCATTGTTTTGAAATGACACTTCAGTTGTGAGCTGACACTAGTGGGAAACGGTATTTTTGAGACATCGTTTATATAAATACCAAACACTGTTTTTACCCATATTTTGCATATGCTTTGTTGCCTTCCCAGTCTTCCATGTCGATTCTGAGCTCATGAGTTCCGCGTTTCACAATGTTATGGATATTTTCTAAACCTGAAAAACGAAATTGAGATTTTAGATAAAAGGTAAAATATATGTTATCTTGTTAATTGAACACCGTTTGATTAATTCATACGTGATATTTCATTTTGTTAAATTTTTCTATAGAGCATTTCAAAAGTTTATTTACGCAATATCGCGAAGTCAATAAGACACAGAACTGTTTAAGTTCGAATGTATTCCCACATATATGACCTTACCAAGCCAAAATTCTTTGTCTTTGTTGCCAAAACCTTCAACGTAATCATCCCAATTCCGATAAAAATCTTCTGAGCCATCTACTCTTCGTTGGAAAACCTGCGAAAAAAAAATGTACTCGTCAGAATTATATTCATTTACATGAAGCCTTTGTAAAAATAGAATTCCGAACATTTAGCCTTTTACAAAAGCAATATAGTTGAATATACATTATGTTCAATATGATTAAATTGTTTATCATGTTACGACTGTCGATACTACATTGTGACTGGAACGATTAATCAGACACAAAAATACACGAGACCGGTTATACCAGTTATACCGATAGTTTCGTACAGTTTCCTAGCATAAACCAACATGTGCCCAAAGCAAATCTTCCACGCTTTAACTTGAACCTTCAACAAACTCGCACCCACAAAAGTGGCTTCAAGCGATAGAAAATGTCATGAGATGGCCAGAAATAAAAACGTTTTCATGAAATACTGGTTTAATCATATGTTTTCATCTAAAATGTCACTCACAATCCACCCGCCTGCGTCTGTGGTTTGATCACAAGAGACATCAGTGCTTCGAGGCAATGCCGCAAGAGAAATGTTATAAACATTTTCGTTGGAAGATTCTAAATTTGAAGTTTGAATATCCCGACAGCTCCTAGGGAGGCTTTCATCTGAACAATAAAGATTTAATTCATTGTATTTAGAGGGTCATAGAAAAATTAGTATAAATATATCTTTGTGTTGTATTGTAGAGAAATGGGAAAGGGGACAACATTTTCAAGATTGCAATTACAACATACCAATAGTTGATATCATATTATGTACGATACGGTCTTGGGACTGTTTTATTCTTGCTATATTTAAATTCTTGCTCGAAGGTAATTTGTGCATCATGTGTGCATATACTTCTTGAAATCTTTACTTTGTGTTCAGAATATAGGAGTTTCAATATACATATGCATCGATTAGGGTATTTTAAATTGTTACGTTTCTAGAACACGAAACAAATAACAGTGCAACCTTTCAACTGAGTAAGTTTAGCTTCTAGTTGGGATAGTTTTACATCCAATCGCTTTTCAGCTTCTGTAAAAAAAAAAATAAAAAAAATTTTTAATATGAATAGACAAACATATTTCAATGTTTTATATTTATACATTCATATTCCTCATGCCAATGCTTTCAAAATTAATAAAAATCCACTCATAAAATACCAAATAACGAGGTTCACAACCAATATACATTGAAAACTCAATCGAAGGTACGTGTAAATTAAGAAGTACGCGATCAACTTACCTGTAATTTGTTCATAGATTTTAGCGTTAATAAGTTCGTAATCTACAAATACAGAGTTGTCTTGGTTGTTCAGAGAATCCTTTGACTCTACAACAATTGTTTTTTGAGCTGCAAGACAGGTAGAGACTACCTCGCAAAAGCCAAACTCTTCTGCAGAGGTGTTATATTGCATGATGATGCCAAATATGATGTGAACTATAAACTGCCGCATTTTATCAGATTGTACTAAAATAAAATTCAAAAAACTGCTGTTAGGATAAGATCTATATATTTTTACCGGGGAGGGGAAAGAGAAATAACGACATAATCACATGGCGAAACACGCCCTTTCGTCCGGTTTCCAGTCCAGCAATCCTATCGCGCATAATTATCCTCGGATGAGATTCGTATCTGCGAACTGGCGGAATGGGAATGATCAGTCTGCATGAAAATAAAATAGCAATTGTATTGTGCCCAATAGAACCAGAGTGAATTTACAATCGATTGAGAGTCAGTGTTAGAAAATAATACGTCACTTCGGAGTTATTTTAAAATTATACGTAACAATGTGAACTTGCACTAAGACAATACATAATTATGTTGAAATAGGAATGCGGAATAAGCGCGTTCTGTCCCATGATCCACGATTGCCGATTTTGAAACGATTTTTGCTCTTTACTCTGGATTTCTGGCTAATAGCGAACTGTTGAGAAACAATTTAAAAACGCACACTTTGTACTAAACATTCCGCACTGAAAGCATCAGTTGTTGCTGTGGTATTCTAACAAAAAAATTATGATTGGTATTTTAATTTTAAACGCACTGAAAATCAAGCATATTAATATGTGTAGTCTCAATTGGAAACGACAAGTGTTGTACACCATTCTCAAACGTTTCGTCTAAATTGCTGACTTTCACATGGCTCGCTCGATGGTCCACTGTTTCTGTTTACTCGTTTTAGAACTACCCACTGAAGGCTTCGTGCGAACAAGAATAGAAAATTCCTGTTATGGCTTATTTACGCTAAAGTGTGACACGAAGGCAATTTTTGATACCGCAAATAAATTTTACAACAGGCTTGATTGCCTCCGGTGAAAGCAACGAAATTACATTTACCTTACATTTAACAATTTGAACCCTGAAAGCCGCTAAACCGGCTTTCCCGAGAAAGTCTTCTGACGCTGAAAGCCGGTTTAGCGGCTTTCGCATCCCGTAAGAGGTATGCAACTTTGAAACCTCATATCTCGCGAACCATTTATTATATTTAGACAAGTTTTACATCGTGTGAAAGATAATCTACAGGACTAAGTATAATTTTAAAATTGAGATAAAATATTGTGATCATCTTATGAAAATTGGCAAAATTAAAAAGCATAAAAAACTTCTGAAATTTGCTCAAATCTAATTGACAAAACTTAAATTTGTTTTCGATTAAACCTAGTACATTATCGACAAAATTTGTAGAATTTGAAGATAGCTTTCCAGTGATACCATTAGATTGAACTTATGTTGCACCATTCAAATTTCAGAAGCATTTTTATTCGTGATTTTGTTTGTCGCAAGATCGAGGCGACGTCAAGGTGACGTAAATAACGACCCAACACATTTACGCCGTTACGCAGCGACGTTAATCAATTACGTTGGCACGTAGCACGTTTACGTTTCATACGAGAAACACTTTTCCTCGCATGCTCGTAACGTCATTTACTTAAGTTCGTACTCGTGAAGCGACTTACGACTTGTAAACGATACACGGGGAAATTCACGCATTACATCGGTTCGACTAAAACACACAATACGCAGTGTTATTGCCGTTTTAATTGCATAAAGATATGAAAAATACGAATAGCCAAAATAAGGATTTTTAAAAATAGAATGATGGAACATATCGATGGATGCATTGTTTAGCGCCATTGCTGAGTTTTATTGTGCCATATTTTCTTCTTCCGATAGATGAATACTATCCAATATTTCATCTGGACAAAGCTTTCGTTTAAAATCCATTGTAAATATAGCGATATCAGGAATGTAGCGTATATGCAGTAATTTCGAAAATCTAATGAGGCTGCAAAATGTAAAACACTGACCAGGTGAGCGGAACCTCATAAATTCATGAGGATCAAGTATTTCGTTTTGGCCATTCATTTTCGTCCCATATCCAAATAGTAAACGTATATAAAATTGCCTTTTATTCTAGCAATTTTACTATGTTCGGTCAAAATTCGTCTGAAAGGGTTTTATCTGCGGCCGAGGATATGATACTAATGCAATGAAGCCACAATCTGCACTCAAGCTGTGAACGACCAGATGTGCAATTGCGCAATATACCTCACGCAAAGAGTTACGCACGATACGTCGCATGAACGTTATCACGACAATGTCGTCGTCGCCCTTTGCGTCCTTACGCAAACTTGGCGTCAAATAGTTGATAAATTTTGTTTGCAAACCATTTGAATCGATAGTACAAATTCTGCAATAAAATGAGTTATGCGTATGTTAAGAAAGTCATACGTATATTCTCCGAAAGGTAATTTTGTATACTTTCCAAAATTGTACTTATATTGATGATACATTTCTAATAAATGTATTAAATATTATTAAAATACAAAAAAATAGTAGATGGGGCTACAAATAGGCTTACACATCTCATCAAAACATCTCGTGAAAAATAATGCCAGTTAAAAATAAAAGACTAGATAAGCTTTTATATGATATATTACAGACCATCTGATATCTAATGGTTTAGAAGTTATTTTGATTTAAAATTAGGGATATTACAAATTTTTAACGCGTCAAATCGATGCGACGCCGTGGGAGGTCAGGGTGAGGGAGTAGCATCGTTCTGGGGATTCAGAGTTCAAAGAGTTAAAACGTCATCAAAATCTTTTTTTTTTTTTCGATGTTTCTTTTTCAACACTTAGAGGTGCAAGATCACTGAGACGATCCTGTGTCATTGATGCACGCGAATACGATAAAATAAGTTTCAATTTGCTGAAAGACCGGCTTGACAGCTTGCAATTGAAACTGGTATTTTTAACAAAATTTGTAGAGAAATTTGCAGATTGGGTAAAACGTCGTCTCCAAAAGACACAATAAAATCGAGAAGAGCCAAAAGAGTTTCTGGTTGACCTTCAGTTCTGTTACTGAGCAGCATTCTGCAATCTCCAATTTCGGTGAAAAGTTCGTGGCCATTGATGTCCGTGTCGTAAAAATTTGCAAAATCTGTGCAATCTCGACGAATTGTCGAAAACGGCATTGGGGTCTTTCATCACACTATAAAATATTTTTTGTAACTCTGCCGCACATTACGGTACTCTGACAACCACGAAATACAAAACCACGTATTACTCAAAACATGTATTAACATCATTCAACCAAATTCCGTTGGCATTTGTCTTCAGCACAGAACTAATATCAACTTACATCATTTGTTTCCCGGACAGATTTTTTGGCCATGTAATTACGATGGAAATCTGACCGTGCGCGAGCTATGTGCCTGATGACGTCGGCAGTCGACGTAGGTGGTCTGTCGTCTGACCAAATGTGCAGTTTGCCATGTACTAAGACTAGATGTCTGCGCCGGTGCGATCTTGCTTGTGACCGTTTTGTTACCATTGTTGTGAAATTTTTGCAAGCCCCATTTTGGCGCCCGGGGGCATATGTACCCCATTGCCCGCCCTAAGCTACGCCTCTGGAATTAAGCATTCCTCTTTTCAAAAATATTCGCAAGTCGCGAAGGTTAGCGGTTTGGTCTGGACTCAAACATGAGTCTCATTCATGACATATCTTGGCTCGGCGGTGTGGCGCATCGTGGATGAGTGGGTTCGCATCCTACACGGGGTTAATTATGTGCGAAAGGATTTCTGGATTACTCGCCGCTATACGGTGGTTCTGGTAACTGGTTGATCGGTTACGACATCCTCCACCATCACGTCCAAGCTTCCGGAAACAAATAACTGGCTAATTAATCCCATACCCGACATGAACTGCTGGTAACCGGGCGAGAGGTCGTGGTTCGCTTAAAGCCGTATTATCAACTTCCGTCAAATATGTAAATCATATCCTATCCATTTAGGTGAAGCAAACATCACGGCAAAGTATACCTCAAAAGCAGGAACGTGTTTGTCAGGCTAAACGCCGTTTCACACTGCGTATTTAAAGAATTCGGATACTATGGTAATAACTTTTCGTGAATTAATTGTTGAAAGTTTGCCCATGTTGTTCGCTTCTTTATTTGATTCTGTTTTCGTATCGTGTTTACTATTCCTAACTAAATTAGAAAAATCTTATCCGGATCCGGACGAAAGCGCTTCTCTACAAATAATATTCAATATCAAAAGTTCGATCTTACACTGACTTGCGGCTATGTGTATCAGCGTATCCGGCATTTAGCAGCCTTGTTGAAAATAAACAGTCCAATGCATAGTAATCCGATATACCGCGAGCCTTTGCCATTTGAAGATTCCACAGAAAGTGCACAATACTACATCTACCGTGTTTCCCTGAAAATAAGACCTAGCCTGATTTTTCAAACTGATTTTAATATAAGCCATCCCCTTAAAATAAGACCCAGTCAATAACGCGAATTTTTTTTCGAACTAGTCGATAGTAGGAAATCTCGCCTACACTTATAAAATGATTTCATAATCTATGTTTTGCAGTTATTTTGAATAAAAACATGTTATTTATAAGTAAATGGATATCGGTTTTCATTTTTTGTTTATTCGAAAATCTCGTAATTCTCCACTGTAATTTTGTTTTTGATAAATTAAAATTCATAAAGACATTCCCCGAAAATAATTCCTGGTGTTATTTTTCGAAAGAAAATTAAAATAAGACCCAGTCTTGTTTTCGGGGAAACACGGTACAGTATATCCATTTCTTTATACTGAACTTTCTCTCACACAGAAAAGGCTTGATCTTTGCCTAGAAACTGACTTAATGCCCGAATTAACGCGGAACATGCTCGCACAAATAAGCAACTACTTTGAGATGTAATTATTACATCATAAAGATCGTGATTTTATAACAATTCTATGAGCTATGACGTCATGAATATGCGGGTAAGTTGACGCAATGATGCCAGATTTAATACAGAATAAACTGCAATGACGTTTCATTCCAATTATTAGGTTTATACATGTTAGATCTGAATGATTTTAAATTTTCTACTCATGTTTCTTACTTATTTTTATTAACATAACTTTCCATCCTTGCATATCAGTTGAAATCAGCGTCTTTATTTGCCAA